AAGACAAAGACAAAGAACAAAAGGGACATGAGTAGTAGGCTCACAGAGAAGAGTGAGCCTACCCTATGTCTTAGAATATAAGCACAGCTGGCAAAACAAAAAAAACATCGTGACAATCACCACCGCAGGCTGCCTCAGGGGGGAAGGCTGGCAGCAAGAGCCTCTCCTCTTCTCATTGACCCTGCTGCAGCTGGAGGTTATCCAGGGCCCCATCAGTCCAATGCTACCCATTTATATGGCAGGGCGCTGGGGTGACTCTGCCCCATGCCACTGGGTAGGGTACCGGAGGCCACCTTTACCCCAACCTCAGCCGGTCTTCAGCCAGAGGGCCAATTGCCTGCCATGCCAAGCTTCCCCCCATGGCCATGATGCCATCCGCAGCCTTCGGGTTTCAAGATTTCATTACGGAGGCAATCTGACAGGGGATCACAGCCGGGCTTCAGCCCCATCAGCCGGTGTCCCCCGTGCCGCCCCTAGATTGTTACAGGAGGGGGTGAATCATTATCCCGTCGAGCCTTTCACCAGCTTTGGAGAGGGGGAAATTAGGGACACAAATCTCTCACAGGAGGAAGGAGCAGCCACAGACAAGCCCACATGCACTGGCCTGTTTCCCCCCACTCTGTTTAAACCTCTCCTGGGTAAGGCTAAGGCGGCCTCTGACCTAGGCAGTCAGGCAGAAGCCACCAGCATCTTGCCACAGCCCACTACCGGGTTTAAGGAGCTCAAGTTGGAGGCTGACATTATCCCGGCCCCTCAGTTCTTCGTAGACACTGTACAGAGACAGTGGTCATCCCCAACATCTGACCCGGCGCCCTCTGTTAACAATAGGTGGTTCTACAATGTCACCAAGCAACTCGACAAGACCCTTCTGTGGCTGACTGTCGATCCCCCCATTGCAGCTCTACACACCACCACAGTGATCCCGGGCTCTCAGGAGGATATCCTTAAGTCTGAGGATCGACAGACTGACTAGGTCCTTCAGCATGGTCACCAGGTGGCCGCTGAGCAGTGCGAGCCTCATCTGCGGTTTCATTCTTTTCAAGATCTAGCCTCTTTTGGCTTTAGCAGCTTCAAGAGCAAATTCCTGCAGGAGACTCTAGAGCGCATCAGGACTTGAATAAAATTGTCGCCGCGGTTCAATTTACCTTGGATGCCATCCTGAGAGCCATCAGGTTCTCCTCTAAGGCCATGCCATCTGCAGTGGCTTCCGTCAGGCTCCTATGGTTGCGGCAGTGGCAGACTGATATGAAGCATAAATGGAAGCCAGCTTTGGAGCTGTACAAAGGGGCGGGGGCTTTTTGGAGATGCACTTACTCCACTTGATTGAGGGCAAGGATAAGTGTAAGGTCCTTCCCTCGAACCCTAAGAAGGGGTTTCCTTGTCCCTCCCCCTACACTAGGAGACAGCCCTTTCGGGCTCAGGAGTATCGGGGGTCTTTTAGATATTCAGATTACTTCTCCTTGGGCTTCCGTCCACAGGGTGGCTACGACCAACGCCCGAGACAACAACAATACAGACAACAGAGGGGGAACCAGTCTAAATGACCCTTTTGAAGGGGCGGTAATCAAAACTACCGCAAGTCCTGACCTGGCTCAGGATGGGTTCCCCATTGGCGGGAGGTTGCAGTTTTTCGCAGACTAGTGGGAGGCCACAACATCTGATTTCTGGGTCAGAGACATGGGCAGGTTCAGTCTGACTGAGAAGTTCATTTCCGCTCCTCCTAAGTTCTTTGTTCGATGCCCCATTTCTGGCAACCCACAGAGGTGCCACCTGATGCAGTTGGCCATCCAGCATCTCCTAGATATCAAGGCCATCCAGGAGGTTCCGGCTGCCTAGATTGGCCAGGGTTTCTATTAAGTTTTATTTGTCATCCCTAAAGTCTCAGGGGTGGGGAGCCATTCTTGATTTTAAAAGGTTAAATAGTTATGTTAGATAGAGACATTTTAAGAAGCACTCGTTAAGCACTATTCTGGAGGGGGTATGTGAGGGATATATGCTTACCTCAATTGACCTTACGGAGGCATACCTGCACGTTCCCATTTTGCAGGAGCACCATCAGTTTCTTTGTTTTTGTTATAATTCTTGCCATTATCAATAGACGGCTTTGCCTTTTGGTCCTTCTGCGCCCTGTGTTTTCACTACAGTTTTGGCCGCCCTTGCAGCCTATTTCCGTACCATGCCTATCAGGGTCCAACTTTACCTGGATGACATCTTGGTACAGTCGAGCTCCCAGGAGGCAGCCAGAGCGGACCTCGCCACTACATTGCACATATTTCAGGCCCATGGTTTTGCCATTAATGAGGCCAAGAGCCAATTCACGCCTGCCACCAGGATCCTCTACCTCCCTCACCAACTTATCAAAACTGCTAGGGAAAATAGTCTCAAGTCATCGCCATTGTACCCTGGGCTTGATTCCACACAAGGGACCTACAGTGGTTCCTACTCCCATTCCAGAGGAAAAGGATCAGTACCTCATTGGCTAGGATGTCCCTGCCCAGGGAAGTCCGTAATTCTCTCCGCTAGTGGGAGTCCCTGGCCATAGAGAGAGGGTGCCATTTCAGAGTATTCAATAGGGTTATCATCACCACGGACACTAGTCTATATGGCTGGGGAGCACACATTGGGTCAGAGGTAGCACAGGGTCAGTGGTCCCAGGAGAAGGCAGAGATGAGCAATAACTGGTTGGAACTAAGGGCTATCAGGTTGATGTTATTGAGTTTCCAGTGCTTTGTCGAGGGTCAGCACGTGCTGATCCTCACAGATAACATTACGGCCAAGGCCCATGTGAACAGGCAGCTGACTGCCTGGTGATTGAACGGCTCACTCTTGGGGGGGGGGGGGACCTTTCAGCCAGAGCCATAGATACCATCCAGGCCTCAACGGTTTGCATTTACAATGCAACCTGGAAAATCTTCTGCACTTGGTGCCTGCCCAAACACATTGTTCCATGTGAGTCCTCTGACCCTCAGGTCCTGTAATTCCTCCAGGAGGGGCTCGAGAAAGGGTTGTCTCCCAACACTCTCAGGAGGCCGCTCTCAGCACCATACTTACCTGGGGAGGGCAGCCTCTGTCACAATATCCGACAGTAAGGTGTTTTCTGAAGGGAGCTGCCTATCTGAGGCTGCAACAGTACTCCCCTTCCCCTCAGGGGGTTTAGCAGAATGCGTAATCACCCTTTCCTCCAGTTCACGTAAGGGTTCTATTTCTGTAGCCATGGTAATCCTAGTATGAGGAGCCAATCCATCTCAGGTGCCACGATGAAACTCAAGGTTTCTTGGTGATCCCCCATCCACATTTTTATTGGTTCAGTTACAAAATGGGCAGGGGCATCCCCAGCTTCTGAGCCATCTAATTGGCAAAAGGCAATGGGCACTTTCATAGTCTTCAGTCTTAAACCCATTTTCTCCACCACTTCCGGGCTATTTACGCAACGGGTGCATCCAGAGTCTAAGAGGGCAAGCATTTTCCCTTGGGCTCCAATAGAGGGCACTTTAGGTTCTACTGGAATGGTCATGGGGTCTGATCGGGGACTTACCAAATAGTTGTCATCAGAGTCAGTTTCACTTTCTCCGGAAAGAAAGCAGGACTCTTCTCCCTCCTGAGTGGGAGGGAAATCCTCAACAGTTTCCACCCCTTTCAAGGCGGTTTCTTTGCGTTTTCCTGGCAGGTGGTCTGGCTTCTTCTCTCCAGCAGTGGCGGGCTTCAGGCCAAGTTTTGCATAGCAGCTTGCCGCTCGGTGCCCCTCCTTCCTGCATTGGAAACAAGCAGTAAACCGGGGCTTGTTTGCAGACCATTCCTTTCCTCCCCTCAGAGCTCCTTTGGGGTGGGTGGGAGGGGGATTCTTGACTTTGTCGCTGCCTCCTCGGAATCTATTCCTGGTTAGGTCAATTTCCACATCTGCTGCTGAATGAAAGCTTATAATAAAAAATTAAGTCAGGGCTTCTGGTGCCCATGTCGCCTGAAGAAGCTTCTTTTCTTTAGCAGCTCCAGTCCCAAGATCGCATTACACTGTCTGGACAGCATTCATCAGTTGTCTGACAGATTGATTACCTCTTCTTCGGGTGAAGAAGAAGGGGGAGAGCAGCTGAGCTTGGGAAGAGCTCCATTACCCCCCCAAGGAGATAATTCTGGGGTGTGGAAGGTGTGAGCCCCCCTGCAACTCAGCGAACTCCGTGCCCGGGATTCATTCTGCTTTTCTGCAGAAACCAAGGCACATGTTCACCCCTGCTCAACGTTTGATTTACACCTGAATCCAAAACAGGCAGAGCAATACCGGAGAACTTACAACTGTATGTATAAACAAACTTTAACTCCATTTTTCTAAAAATTCCTTCTACTAAAACTAATGAGACAGAAGATAAAATGGCGCCGAAGAGTCCTGAAGGCGGGGTTGTTCTGTAATGTTACAAACTACCACAGAGCTTAAAATCATTTAAAACAGTAGTGATTTATTAGCAAGCTACAGAGTAATAATTGGAACAAGCAGTTTGTCTGGACTTATTAATTTGGTGGAAGATAAGCTTAACTGAGGAAATGGCTTCAAAGCAAACCAAAACAACTAGGGCTTCCAAAAGTGCTGGGAGTTTCCCCGCCCTGACAAGTAAATTACAGTCATTGCTACCCCCCTCCTCCTCCTGCTGGAGAACCTTTAAATCAAGAAGTACTACAAAGAGTTTTAAATGATGCTTTAAAAGACCATGCAGCCACGTTAGAAATTAAAATACAGGAAAAGGTTTCTGCTGCTTTTAAGGAGATCTCGGAAGTGGTTAGGGGGTTAGTTCAGACTCACAACCAAGAAATTAGAGAAGATATTTTAGAAGCTTTTAAATGCTTATCTGGCTATGTATCTGTTTTGGAAGAAAAAGTGGAAGAAGTTAATGAGTCCAATATTAATTTGGTAACTAAAATGGACGTGGTCCAAGGCAAGGTTTATGATGCAGAAAATGAAATCACAATGCTGCAGTACAGACAGATGGAATTTGCTCTGAGAATAAGGGGCCTTAAAGAGAAAAATCAAGAAAACCTGAANTGAGGTGGCTGGTCAGGGCCTTGGTGTGCTCGGTGTCCTTCTGCAGCAGCAGCTCCTTCAGCTTCCCAACCTCCTGCCTCAGCCAGATCTTCTCCTGGACATCCGGCCGATGGGCCCCGCTCATCTCATCCCACAGAGTGGTGGCTTCTGTCTTTGTCTTCTGGAGCTCCAGCTTCAGCTGGGCCACCTCCTCTTGCAGGGTCGCCACTTCCCTCTTCTGGTCACTCTGCCGACATTGCTTCTCTTCCTGCTGGCGCAAAAGCTCCTGCAGCTCCTTCTCGCTCTGGATCTTCAGCTGGAGAACCTTGCTGAGCTTGCTCTGGGCTGAGTGGCAGGCGTCCATCTCGGCCTGGTGCTGCGTCTGGGATGTTTCCAGCTGTTGCTTCAGCTGTAAAATCTGTGCCCGCAGCCCTCCGGCGTCTTCCTGGCAATGCCTGGCCAGGGGGTGCAATTGCTCCATTGCCCGGTGCAGGTCCTGGGTGCAACTGGCCAGAGAGGCTTGAATCTCTGAGAGCTGGGGAGGGGGTGCTGGGGCTGCACGCACAAATGCGGTGGTCTCGCTCCAGAGGCCGGGGGGTCCTTTGGGCTCCCTGGGACGCAGTTCAAAAGACGCTGTCCACCAAGGAGACCCTCAGGCAGTGGGGTGTGGGCCGGGCTAGGGTGCAGGTGCTGCTCTGGGGGGCCACTTGGGCTGCCTCACCTGGCCGGACCATCTGCAGAATGTTGGTCACCTCCAGGAACTGGGCGTGAAGACCCCCCAACTCCAGCACGGCCCCGGAAAGGCTCTCCAGGCCCCTTTTGGTCTCCTGGATCTCGGCCCTGGCGCCGTCCAGCTCAGTGCACAGTGACTCCTGCTCCTGCTGGAGCTTCTGGTGGGCTTCCTTGAGGTCCTCCAGCTGGCTGCCACGTTCCCGCAGAGTGGTGAGGCTGGCCTTCAGCTCTTCCTCCGTCTCGCTCAGCTGACGGTGGGCAACCTGGTTCTCCTGCTTGAGAAACTCGCGGCAATCCGAGGCCTCCCGGAATTCTCGCTGGACACTGTCCCGTTCCTGCTGCACCCGCTCCTTCTCCTGGGCCAGCTTGGCAGCTTCGTCCTGCAGCTTCTGGATGGCTGCTGTCTTCTCCTCCAGCTTCTGGGTCAGCGCCAGCTGTTCCTCCTTCAGCTGCTCCAGCTGCTCTTCTGAGGAGGCCACTTTGTCCAGAGCGGCCTGCAGTTCTTGATCCAGCCGCATGTTGCTCTCCACCAGCTCATTCACCCGGCCCAGCGCTTCCACCAGTTCCACCATCATCTCCTCCAGCTTCTGGCACACCTCTCGGTGCTGGGCACCTTCGGTCCGGGCGGCCTCCACCTCCTCCGCCATCTTCCGGTGGGCCACGAGGCACTTGCTGACGATGCTGCGGTACTCCTGGTAGTCCAGCCGCATCCGAGCCCAGTTGGCTTTCAGGGCTGCCGCGAGCTTGTCTCCTTTGGCCAAGTGGCAGCCGTATCCGGCCAACAGATCCACCTTAAGCTCCTTCGCCTCCTGCAGCAGGGCCCACAAGCGTTGCCGGGACTCAGTGGTCTGCTCCAGCGTCCGGATTTTGGAGTCAGCCTCAGCCTGCACCGACTCCTGGACCAGGTTGGCCGCGTCCTTCGCCTCCAGGGCTGCCTCCAGCTCCCGGGTCATGGCCTGCTGCTTCTGGCCCCACTGCTGCACCTGGGCCTTGCTCTGAGCCAGCAGCTGGCCCATCGCCTTCTGCTGCTGGCAAAGGGACCTCCGGTTGTCCTGGAGGTGCTGGAAGGAGGCGTCCACCTCTAAACCTTTAGAGGTTTTTACTTTGGTATTGATTGACACGTTTTGAATGTTAAGATTTGGTGGTTATATAATTGTAATCTGGGAATATGCTTTTTAACTTTTGTGGTTTGTTACATTGAAATGGGAGGACTTGTGTAACTGGATTTGAGAAATAACCAATACTTCTCAGAAAGAAAGTGACCTAGCTTCTTTATAACAGGGGATAGTATAGTTGATTAATTTATATAATAATTTATACAGCTGCCCATCTAGCATGCATGATTCTGGGTGATTAAAAGTTAAAAATCAAATAAAAACACAACTAAAACAATCAAAATCAAAACAACAGAAATAACATAAAATAACCCAGCAGCCAAAAACACTCATGATATCCCATGCTTAATAAACCATGACGAAAAATTGGACCTACCAGGGCCTGAGCTTAATGGCAAAACCACATTTTTAATGCTTTGTGAATGATTGTTTCTAAAGTTCAGTGATGGTGATGGTAATGATGGAGAAGCCATGCCTTCAATTGCGTTCAGTTTTTGGCAATTGTAAGGACCAGCACTCTCCACATTTTCTGAAACTGTTTCTTTCACTTGTTCTATGCTCCTGAAGATATGTGCCTTAAAGAAAAGCTTAGTTGTTCATAACAATTGCTAGCATCTCCTCAACTAGAGACATGCCTAAGTAGACTTTCTTAGCATGTAAATCCATTTTGAATTTCCCACTGAAATTTCCTTGGCTGTCCTGATCTTCCTTCAGCAGTGAAGAGTATTGATTCTCTTGGTTCTCAATAAGGGTGAAGATAGCATCCATGAATGGGTTAACATGGTCCGTGCTCAGATTGGACTGAGCCTGATTATTAATTAGTTATTGCCCTATATAACCCGCCCTTGTGAGTATTCCCACCCAGCTTTCGACTCAGTCCACTCTGGGACGGTTGTGTTATCCATTTCTTCCTTTATTAATTGATAGCAGATATTATCCAATTTCCCAATGTTCTGATGTTATCCTGGTATTTAATTGGAACTCCTATTTGAGTGAGTACACTGGCTGGAGACTTCGAATTAGTGGGCTATAAGACTATCACCCACTGGCCGCTGGCCTTTGCCCCACAGGCCCTTACCTTTGCGTTGGGGGCGGACGAGCATCTCACCCTCAGCAATTGTCCACTGCAATGACACCAGAACTTGAAAGGAGTGTGAATTCAGCAGGTCTGGCTGCGAGTCTTTCCACGCTAAAACGTGAGCCAGGACAGCTCAGCGAGGTTGCCTGACACCCCTTTTGATGCGGAGGAGAGCACAGCAGGGCACCTGGGCTGTGCCTAGCCCCTGGATATCAGCAGATGCGCAGCGCTCACAGCCGGTCACTAACAAGGGCCTGGTCATTGCAAATGGCCTGGGAGCACAAAAGAGGGTGAAAAAAGAGCGTGGCCACCATTTTGAAGTGGGCGGAATGTTGACAGATGTGTAGTGTGTTTGGGAATGGCTGCTACTTTGGATTTGGCCTTCTTGCAGACAGCACAATCCAAAAACACCTTACACTCCTTTAGATCCAAACCTTTGTGAACTCTGGCATTTTGTTAAGAACATGGAAACTGGCATGCCCCAATTTTCTATGCCACTTATGGATACAATGCAAAGGTTTACCAGTTAGTGAATTTGCAACATTAATAGTTCTGTGAGGAACCTCAGGCTTGCTCTGAGCAACCTGTTTTCTTATTTTAGGAGCCTTTGGAGTAGCTACAGGATCTCTCACTGGAGCATCTCTCTCTGGGCCTGTGTTCTCGTCTTTTGGAGTTTGTATACTTGCCTGTGTTTTAGGCTTTGGTTTTATTTAATAAACACCACCAATTAGCATGGTTTCAACAATAATATCTCCATTTTTAACTATGTAACTTGCTTTTTCGAGGTGGTGAACCCGGTACTTTAACACTCTAGACAAGTGACTCTGACTAAGCAAATTACTACTTGCTGTAGGTATGTAATAAACATCAGGGATAAATGCATCGAGCTCCTCAACATAGACAGTCCCTTTTCCCATAACCTTACAAGGATGATTGGAGAAAGAATAAAGTTCACGNAAATAAATAAAGGGAGACTAGTATAGATCTATTTCAAGCTATTTAGCTCTCATCAGCTAGCCATACCCAAGTTTTTGGGAATCGAACCTGTGCTCATATATCAGGTTATATATATATATATAACATTTAAACTTACTTTTTGTACATACGTATACATGTAAAGACACACACACATACACACACCAAAAATTGTGTTAGTGTCTCTGAGTTCATCTGGATAGCTGCTTCACAATTGCTTGACAAGTTTCTATTTCCTTGGGATTGCGGGTGGGTGGGCTGGGATCCAGTTATGGGGAAGGGGACAGATGGGGTGGGTCACAGTGAAGGGCAGACTGTGGACATTGGTGAAGACAAGCAGACCAGAAGATCTCCTGATGGTAGAATCGGGGAATCTCAGAGCCGGAAGGGACCCTTGAGGGCTTCTACTCCACAGATGGAGCCCCCTGTGGCCAACAGAGTCTCTCAGAGGGCATCTGAGAACCATCTGAAGCCACCCCAATTACTGGGCCATGGATAATGGACACTGTCACTCTATACACCAGACATTTGGGGATGCTGCAGTCCTGGCCTGGTGATGTTGGTGGTCTGCTATGAGCTGGCTCACCTCACACATTGGCCCTTATCCCCAGGATACACCTGGTGAGGAGATTCAGGATGCACTAACATTGGAGACCCCAAAAGAGAGAGCTGTGGTGTGGCCCCAGAAGAGAATGTCTGATTCTGGGCTCCTGGATTTGGTGGGTGTTGCAGGCCTGGCCAGGTGATGGTAGGGGGGGGGTCTGTTATGAGCTGCCCCATCCCCACCCACCCTGGCCCTTATCCCTGGGACACACCTGGAGATGAGATTCGGGGCGTGCTAAAGTTGGAGACCCCAAAAGAGAGAGCTGTGGGATGGCTCCAGAAGTGAATCTCCACTTCCTGTGCTACTGGATTTGGTTGGGCCTTGTAGCCAGCTGGGATTAGGGCTCTCAAACCCCCAGGTTGGAGGGTCCTCATTTGCATCTCCAATTCTCAAGGAGGTTTTTTTTCATTGTTGTTCTCCCCCACTTCCTGATTTGGAGGTTCCGTGTCTTGGAAGGAAACTCAGATGAGAACTGAGTGGTTTACAGACCCATCACGTGGTCATGGAAACTCAGATGAGTTTCCATGACAGCCATGGGCTTGACCCAGGTAATTCGGGGCCCAACCCATTCAGCGGGTCACATGCTCGACCTCGTATTCCTCTCGGAGCAGTGTCCTTGTGACCTTGGTCTGAGGGGTAATGAGATCGTACCCCTGTCGTCGTCAGACCACTGCCTACTGACGCTTGACTTTCGGAGGCCAAACCCCCCCTGTAGGGAGGAGGAACTGACCAGGTGGTTCCGCCCCAGGCGACTTATGGACCCTCTGAGGTTCCAGACGGAGCTTGGGGATATTTCTGATACTCTCGCCCGCAGTTCGGCGGAGACTCTGGTTGCTGCTTGGAACTCGGCAGTGATGGAGTCTCTTAACCGGATTGCGCCTCTACGGCCGCTCCGAGGCAGTGGATCCAGGAGGGCCCCTTGGTTTACCGAGGAACTCCAGGAGATGAAGCACCGGAAGAGACGCCTAGAGCAATAGCAATAGCATCAATGGAGATCCAGTAAATCCT